CACGCTCACAGACCGAGCTGCAGACAGGGCGTTCCTGCTGAGAAAAGACCGACAGCTGGTAACCAGGGAGGCTCACCCTAAACCCTCAACCTTTGCCTTAACCCCCCCTACTGCAGAATAGGTTTTAAAGGGTAGGGGTGATTTCCGGAGGATTTGGTCGAATGTGTCTTTATTATTAGGGGGTGTTTGTAGTAAAATGGGGAGGCGATTAAACATGTTGGACATTTGGGATCTAGGAAGACGACAATGTCGACGATGGTCGATGGAAATAGTGATGTAGTGGAGTTCGTCATGGCTCTTTGAGAAGAGATTGCAAGTTTCTAAGGATCGCGGCGTACTTCCAGACGCTGGATTTGGACGTTCACGAAGGAGCAGCTCTGTTCCACTTGCTAGACAACGGTGATGGTGAGGCATCCGACATGGATTCTGAACATTGTTGACTTTTCATTATTTATTGGGGGGGATGAAATGGTGATATCAACCTGGTGTTGGCGATGAGAACTATAGTGGGGCGAGTGATTACAGTTGGTGCGGTGGTGATGTGGTTCGCAAAGATGCCGGCGATGGTGGTGCGGACGATGACACGGAACACCATGATCATCAACATGATAGGGACTGCTAAAATGTTGGGTTGCAATGGTGGTAGTTGTGATGCTATTGATGTTTATGATAACTATGATGATATTGGTGTTGATAATGATGTTGATGTTGGTGTTGATGCTGGTGATGATGCAACTGATGGTTTGTATTGGTTATGATGATCGTGATGATGGTGTTGATGATGGTGGTGGTGGTGCTGATGATGTTCAGTATGATGGTGGTGGTGGTGGTGCTGATGATGTTCAGCATGATGATGGCGGTGGTGATGATGATGGTGATGTTGATGATGGTGACGCTGGTGAAAATGATGATGGTGATGGTGACCATAATGATAATGACGGTCAACATCATTAACATCAAAGGAATGATGCCGACTGGTGTGTTGAACGTGTGATGGATCTTGATAATGTTGACGACATTGGTGTTCATGATGGCGCCGAGATGTCACCGGCTATGACCATGATTCAAGATCCTGCCCATCATGATGATTCTGATGGTGTTGGCAAGGCCGATGAGATGTTTTTCGTTGTAGATACCCTATGGTGGTTCCGTCGGTTGTAACGGCTGCTACTGCTGCTGCTGATGATGATGGTGGCGATGGTGATGACGATGATGACGTTAACGATCGTGATAGTGGTTATCGTGATCATGATCACGATGAACCCGGCGCAGGTCACTCTAGAAGAGTTTATCGACGGCATCATGCGCTGCAAGGGGCCTGCGCGTGCAATCGACCAAGTCGCAATGCATGCGGATCCTTCGGCCGACAAGCATGAAGCGCTGTTTGCCTCAGTCCCCAACTCTTTCCATTGGGAATTGTCATTACACATTAACACGCACTTACACAAACAAAGCAAAGCACAAGCAACTCTCATACACTTTCTCCATCTCCCTCATAAACGAAATACTGGTATTGCAGTGCATCAAAATGCAAGCGTACCTACACATCGACATGTGCACAAATACATGCACCTACATACATACACACATACATACATACATACATACGTACATACATACATACATACATACGTGCATACATACATACGTACATACGTACACATATATATATATACATACGTACATACATATATATATACACACATACGTACATACATATATACTGATGTACATATATACATATACATATATACATAGATACATATATACATATATAAATATAAACATATGTACATGTATACATATAAACATATATGCATATGTACATATATACATATATACCTATTTACCTATTTACCTATATACCTATATACAAATATACATATAGACATATATACATATATACATATATACATATATACATATATATATATACAGATATACAGATATACAGATATACAGATATACAGATATACAGATATACATATACATATATACATAGACATACACATGCACATAGACATACACATACACATACACATGCATATGCATATACACATACACATACATATACATACATGCATGCGTACCTACATACACATGTGTAAGTATAAGTGTATATATATATACACACAAATTTTCTACCTACCTACTGGTCTGTCCATCTATATAGAGAAAACAAAACTCAAATATACGATGAGATTTTTTGCCAGCTTCTCAAACTTGTCCATAATAGTCCAGAAATAATAAAGAAGTAGATGAACGCTCAGCTGTCTAGACGTGAGTTTGATAAAGATAGTTAAAGTGCCATACCAGGCGTTTGCCAGGTACCTGTAGTTCTAAGAGTATCTTTCATAATTAGGATTTCCCTCTTTATCAGCAGGACTGTGTTGCAGGAATGAATAAACGTGTAGGTGTGTAGGTATATACTCGCGCTTACGCTTGCACTGACAGAACATTATTATGTACAGATGTGCATTACTTAAAAATATACGTACACCTGTAAAACCGATGTGTGTGTGCGACCTTCAGTTCAGCTGTAATTACATGCACACCATAGGATGTGATGTCACATCTGCAGCCCTGAATCCTATGCCCGAAACCCCAGACATGCCTGGTCTTCAGGCTTGGAGTCCCTCTGAGTTTAGGGTTTGAAGACACACCTTCCGATCTTTTCAGGTGCAAACGGCTGCTTCTTGTAAGCATTCCAGTGTTGAGTAGTCCTAAACCCTAGACCCTGACATCTAAACCCCTAAATCTTAAGTCTTCCTAAACCATCCGCGACAGGATAGGTCGGAACCCCTTAGCCCTACAATTCGTTGGCTACCACTAACCTTTTGGGGCTTGTGTGATCCTACTATAATTCAGCAGGTTAACCTTTTCGGGGCTAGGGTATTCACTCTTCTTAATGCTCCTCAGCGTTCCTGTAACGGTTCCTAGTGCTCCGTGGACTTTTTTTCAGCCCCGAAGTTGACGCCCAAGGACTTGAAGCAACTAGATGCCAAGATGGCAAGGCTGCTCCACGCCATGGGTGCCTTGGCACAGTAAGGAGGGCTTAAGTTTCACGCCGAATGGTTCGATATGGTGGGGATTTTAGGTATATGTTAAATCCTAAACCCTAAACCCTTTAGGTATATGTTAAATCCTAAACCTTAAACCCTAAAGAACAAAAATAGTAAAAAACAACAGAGAGCCTTGTTGGGACTTAGGGCTAGGAGGCAGGAGTCTTGGCCTGGTGGGTCTCGGGGCTTGCAGGAGCATCAGACTGTTTTGGAGTAGGGTTTAGGGTTTAGGGGTTTGGGCGTTGAGGGTTTAGGTTTCAGGGGTTTAGGCGTTTAGGGTTCAGGATTAGGGGTTTAGGGTTTAGGGGTATTCGGGTTCAGGATAGGCTTTAGGGGTACTAGGGGTTTTAGGGTTTAGAGGTATTGGGGTTTTTGGGGGTTCAGGGTTGTGCGGCAACCATGGGCGAGGAGCAGAGCTCCAAGTGCTCTCTGGATGGGTCACTTTCTTGAAATCGCACCTCACTGTTCGAGTAAGGAGGGAGAGAAAGGGGCGGAGGGACGGTAGTTTGATGGGACCCGGCACTTGCAAAGAGGGACCCTAATTTTCTACATCCTCCGTGGCTCCAGAATGTCTTTCAGGAGGAGGCTCCGGAAAGAAGCGGGAAAAGGACATGCTGCTTCTGCTCCAGAATGCAGATGGTTCAAAGGTTTTTTTCGGGATTTCGGGATGTTGAGTTTTAGCGTTTCGAGGGTTCGGGCTTAGGTGTGTAAGTTGCAGCACATCAGGTCACGGCATCGCTCTCATCTGCATATTGGGAGCTTAGGTTAAGAGTGACTAGGTGAGCCTTTGGGATATGTTATGGTTCCCCCTGTGGCGCTTAAGACGATCTTGCTTCCGAACATTTGTTAGGGCTTTAAGGGACTGCGTAGGTGAGCGTTTGGGAGGGCGACGTAGACCCCTGCCCTCGACGGAATGATGGTTGCAAAGGCTTGTATGACACCTGGGACTCCCAGCAATACCTTGTTAGAAACCGTACAGCAGGAAAAGGGGCCCCTTGATCATGAAGAAAGAGACTAATCAGGGGAAGCCCGAAATCGACTGCTTTCCCAAAACCCTAAAACCCTAAACCCGAAACCCCTAAACCCTAAACCCGGTCATGAAGAAATGCCAGGGGATGTCTAGAAGCCCGAAGTGTCAGATCCCCAGGCTCAAGCCACAACCCCCATTTGTTTCGAGCCCACCGGTTCTGCTGTGAACGGCCCACGCCCCGTTAAAGGGTGAGGCTTAGGGTTTAGGGTTTAGGGTTTAAGGTATAGGTTGCTTTCCTAGTCGCAGGACAAGAAGAACCATCTCAAAGCGTTCCGACACGTGCTTTGCCTGATATTTGGGGGGGGGGGGTGCAAAATCAGTAGCACTGTTCCCGCAGGGTTCCTCATATAAGTATACCACACGATTTCCAACCAAACCCTACTGTACAGGTTTTCCACCTTACATTATCGCGGTGTCCTAGTTGTGTCAAAATCCCATCTGAAGCATGTACCGTAGCAGATGAGTTGCTGGTCTCTCGCCACTGTTTGCATGCAACTATATTGGAAAGCATCCCCCTATTATACTCAATAAGGCCCCTGTAACAGGCCCCTGTAACGACTTTTATTCTATTGAAAGCTGATTGGTTTCGATTTGCTGAATCTGGCGTCTTGGCACGTTATAATGGTTTATGCCCCTACCAAGATTTGCAACGGTAAGCACCACGCGCCGACGACAGCCCTGCGATCCAGAAATCGCTGTTGTATGCTGTTGTCAATCCTAACAAAGACAAGTAGCAACCCTTATGAACCCGTAGACTGCAAGCCAAAATCTCTGAAGCTCTAAACCCTCGACCCTAAACCGTAAACTCCAAACCCGAACCCTTTCGCCTCTAAACACAGCCACGGCTTAGGATGTCAGCAGTGCAGTTCCTGCCAACTTCCGCAATCCGAAAGCTGCCTGATCTTTCGGGCATTTCCTGACTCTTGGCATCCGCTCTTTTGACGGCTTAGGATTTATGCTTCAGGGCTTTATGGTTCGCGGTTTAGGCGTTAATTAGGGTTTAGGGCCCCTCTCTTCGTGAGGGTCCTTCTATTTTGAATGGGCGTCTTCTTGAAAAGTCAGGAATCAAACGGCGAAGGCCCTCCTATTATTAGGGGCCCATTCGTTGAATTTGTTGGGGGGGGCGGGGTCCTTATAGGGAGGAAGGCTTAGATCTAAGTTTACATAGACCTTCCCCGTGGAGCTTTTTTTGGTTCGGAGTTGAGGTTCCCCTGGTGTTCAGGGTTCTGGATTAGATGTTTTGAGGTCTGAAGAATATGTATCAGCGCTCTGCATATCCCCTAAACACGTATAAGTCTACGATGAATCTTCTCCGAGA